TCAAGTCCTGGACCTGGTGGCTTAAAACTCACTCTGGGCATGTGTGCGTGTGTGTCTAAGATCCCTAGAGGAAAATGGAGGAGAACGAATTGTGGTGTGGCCATCCCCCCTTGTGGGTGATTTCTCACTTTCTATCTCTCTGTCTCTATCTGTCTGTCCAGCAAGTACACATCCCCTATAGCAAAAGTCTCTCTCAAAAAAAAAAAAAACATTTAAAAAGAACTAAGAACTTTTACTCAGCAAAAGACATGATGTAGAATAAAAGTACAAGTCACAGAGTTGGAAAAGACATCTACAATACCTATATCTAATAACTGGAACTCTGATTCACTAATAGTAGGGACTTTAATTTGTTCATTTAATCTTTTTTTTTCTTTTTATTGGAGAAGTTTTTGCTATAGGGCTCATACACTCATCAGAAAGATAGAGAGACAGAAAGCGAGAAATCACCCCCCAAGGGAGATGTCCACGCCGCAATCCCTTCTCCTCCATTCTCCTCTCGGGATCTTGGGCACGCACGCACACATGCGCCCAGCGTGAGTTTAAGCCACTAGGTCCGGGACTCGAATTGCGGCTGACTACATGGGAGTCGAGTCCAGCAACATAGCCATTATGCCAACTGCTGGTCCCTAATATTTTTATCACATTTAATCACTATACATCTTTCCAGCATACAAAATGGTTTTCCCCAGCATGAATACAGTGCATATTAGTCAAGTCAAAGATATTACTATATACATTACCGTCCACAGATAACTTTTCATTTTGTGCCTGAGAAATACTTTTTGTTCCTTATTACCCAAATCCTCTTACACTGTCTCTATTATCCACAGTTGTCCTCCCTGTTGTTATACCTTCAATCTTTCAAATTCTGCCATAGAGTGCAGACATTTGGTATATATTAAACAGGGATATACAATGCCTTTATTTCATAGTCTGTTTGCTTCACTTAGCATTAAATCTTCCATATTTGTCCACATTGTATCAAGTACCAGGATCTCATTGATTTTTATCCCATAGTATCCCATAGTGTATACGTTAATAGTATCCCATAGTGTATATGTTCCACATATACTATAGCCAACTCATTTTTTATAAAGGATATGAGACAATGCAATGGGACAAAAAAAATCTCTTCAGCAAATGGTGCTGGAAAAATTATACTCACCTACAGAAAAATGAAACTGGACTCCTCTCTCTCAATAGTAAGAGTATCCCATAGTGTATATGTTCCACATTTTTTTTTATCTCATTCATCTGTTTTTGGACATTCCATATCTCAGCAATTGTGAATAAACATGGATATGCACTTTTCTGACTGTTTTCTTTCAGGTAGATACCCAAGAGTGGAATTGCTGGATAATATGGTAGTTCTATTTTTAGGTTTCTATATTGTTTTCCACAGTGTCTGTACTAATTTACATTCCCATCAACAGTGTAGGAGAGTTCCCTTTTCACTACAATGTTGCCAGCACTTATCACTGTGTTTTTGTTTTTTGTTTTGTCTTAGCCATTCTGACTAGGGTTAAGGCTATCTCATTGTAGTTTTGATTTACATTTCCTTTATGATAAGAGATGTTGAGCATGTTTTCATATGCTTTTTAACCATTCATACGTCTTCCTTGGAGAGTTGTCTTTTCAGCTCATTTTCCCATCTTTTAATTGGTTTGGTTATTCTTTTGCAGGTAAGCTGCTTGAGTTCCTTGCATATTCTGGTTAGTCCCTTATCTGAGGGATAATTTGCAAATATATTATCCCATTCTGAGGGTTGCCTTTTCACTCTAATTGTTTCTTCTGCTGTGCAGAAGCTTTTGAGCCTGATGCAGTCCCATTTGTCTATTTTCAGAATTGTTGCCTGTGCTTTGGGGGTCCTAATTACAAAATCTTTACCTACTATGATGTCTCCAAGAGTTTTCCCTGTGTTTTCCACCAGTAGTTTTACATTTGAGGTTTTATGTTTAGATCCTTGATCCACTTTGAGTCGATTTTGGTTAATAGTGAGAGATAGGGGTCCAGTTTCATTTTTCTGTAGGTGGGTATCATTTTTCCAGCACCATTTGCTGAAGATATTTTTTCCCCATTGCATTGTCTCATATCCTTTATTAAAAAAAATGAGTTGGCTATATGTTTTGGAGTTTATTTCTGGGTTCTTTATTCTGTTCCAGTGGTCTCTCTACCTGTTTTTGTGCCAGTACCATCCTGTTTTATCACAGCTTTGTAACATATTTTGAAGTCATTAAATGAGATGCCTCCTACTTAATTCTTTTTGCACAGCACTTCTTTGGCAATATGGGGCCTTTCATGATTCCAAACAAATTTTATGATTGTTTTCGCTATTTCTGTGAGGAATATCTCTGGTAATTTGATCAAAATTACACAAGATTTGTAAATTAATTTGGGTAGAATTGACATTTAGATTATATTATTTCTAGTCAGAAATATGGGATGTCTTTCCACTTTCGTGTATCATTTTCAATTTCTTTTTATAGTTTTTTATAGTTTTTCTTGTAGAATTCTTTCACTTTCTTGATTAGGTTTATTCCTAGGTATCTTATTGTTTTGTGTGGCTGTTGTAGATGGAATTGCTTTCTTCGATTCTGCCTTGGTCTATTCATAGTTGGTGTATAAAAATGCTATAGATTGGGATCAGCGGTTAGTGTAATGGCTATGTCACTGGACTCCCATGTGGTCTACCATGGTTCAAGTCCCAGACCTGGTGGCTTAAATTCACGCTGGGCGCATGTGCATGTGTGCCCAAAATCCCAAGAGGAGAATGAGGAGAAGGGATTGCGGTGTGGCCATCCCCCCTGGGGGGTGGTTTCTTGCTTTCTGTCTCTCTGTCTTCCTGGCAAGTGCACGTGCCCTATAGCAAAAACTTCTCAAAGAAAAAAAAAAACAACTATAGATTTTTATATGTTAATTTTGTATCCTATCACTTTACTATATTCATTTATCACTTCTACTTTTTTGTGGATTCTTTTTGGTTTTCCATATATATAAAATCATGTCATCTGCAAACAGATATAATTTTTTTCTTTTCCTATTTCAAGGCCTTTAATTTTACTCTCTTGTGTGATTGCATTGGCTAGGACTTCCAGTATTATGCTTAAAAGGAGTGGAAAGTGGGCAGCCTTGTTTTCAGTTTTTGGTGGAAAAGCTTTCATCATGATGATAAATATAGCTTTGTCATTTATGGCTTTTATTGTGTTGAGAGATGTCCCTTCTATGCCAATTTTGCTGCAAATCTTGATCATGAAGGGATGTTGTATTTTAACAAATGCATTTTCTGCATTAATTGATATAATCATATGGTTTTTATATTTCCTTCTGTTAATACATGTATTGTTTTACATGAATTGAACTACTCTTGCATCCCTTGAATAAAGCGTACCTGGTTATGATGTATAATCTTTTTAATGTGTTGTTGGATGAGATTTGCTAGTATCTTGTAGAGAAGTTTTGCATCTCTATTCATCAGGGTTATCGGTGTACAGATTTCTTCCTTTGTTATGCCCTTGTGTGTTTTGGGAATCAGAGTGATAAATGAATTTGAGAGGGTTCCTTCCTTTCTGTTCTTTAGATATAGTTTGAGGGGAATTGATGTTAGTTCTTTAAAAGTTTTGTAGAATTGTAGAAATGAAGAAAATATAGAAATGAAACCATTGGGATCTGGGCTTTTCCTTGTTGGGATACTATTTATTACTGATTCAATCTCACTTCTTGTTGTTGGTCCATTCAGGCTTAAAATCTTGGTAGATTATATATGTCCAGAAATCATTTTAGAAAACTGTGTGGTTTACTAGTTCTGAACATGTGATTCAGTAATTTCACTTATAAGTATAAATCCAGTAAAAATGCATGCTCATTTTACCAAAAGATATGTATGAGAATGCTCACTACAGCATTAGTGTAATGTTCAAAACGTTTATGGAAAATCCATATTATCAAAAAATTTATGCATAGATTTCTGAATAGTTTACACTAAAATACATGTATACTTTAATTCCATTTTCCATGAACTTTGTGTAGTTCCCTCACATATATAAGAACCAAAAACCAGAAACAACCTAAATATCTATTAATAGAACAGATGAATATAAAATGTCATATTAATGCAATGGAATACTGCACAGCAATGGAAATGCCACTATACCAAACAGCATAGATGAATCTCACAGACAAAAATGTTAAATGAAGGACACAGAATAGTACATATTTCGAGCTTCTACCTACATGAGTTCATGAACTGAAAAAACTATTCAGTACACAAGAAGTACAGGTAAAAACTTTCTGTAAAGGGAGAATGTCAGAGTGTTTTGGAAGGGGCATTAGGAGAACTTGTGTGGTGTTTGTAATGTCCTATGGATATGTTTAATATATAAACAGGTATGTTTACTTTCTGAAAATTCATACTAAAATTTTGTGTATTTTTATGAATATGTTATTCTTCAATAACAGGCTTTTTTAAAAAAAATTACAGCCCATGATTTAGTAAAATTAGAATATCCAAATGTTTAATTATTTTTGTTTTATTACCATAGATGTTTGCAGTCTCCAGAGAGTGACAGAGAGATGAGATTTGTGGGGGGATAGAAAACACCACATGGGGTGTGGCTGTGCCATAATCCCTTCTCTTCCATTTCTCCATCCTGTTGGGATTTGGAGCATGCATGTACACAAGCCCAGCATGATATTTCAAGCTGCCAGGCTGGATTCAAACAATGTGGCTGGACATGTGGGATTTGGCACCCTTAACCAGTAGGCTATGGGTCCTGCCCCAAACATTTAGTTTTATGCCAGATCATATATATTTTGCTATCACTCTTTTTATACTGTATTGAGAGTTTTACTTTTCTTTTCACTCTTAGATCAAAGCTCTCAAATTCCTCTCTATGAGTGTCCCAGATTATATTTGATCCATAAATGCGTCAACAGTTCCGTGTACTTTCTAGAAATGCATGTCAAATGATTCTGGTACTATTGGTATTTCTTTCTTTCAGATGCAACATGCAGCATCAGGAATGGGAGATGCAAGCAGTTTTGTAAAAAGGGTGCTGGTGATAAAGTGGTTTGTTCCTGTACTGAGGGATACCGACTTGCAGAAGACCAAAAATCCTGTGAACCAGCAGGTGAATACCTAGGGGTTTATTTTGTTTTTCATTTATTTTTGGTTGTTTTAAGAATGTCTATACTGGAACCAGCAGGTGGCATGGTGGCTAAAGGCTTTAGATTCCCACATGGCTGACTGCGATTTGAGTCCCGGATCTGGTGGCTTGAAACTCAGGCCAGTTGCATGTAGGTGCATGCCCAAAATCCCCAGAGGAGAATGGAGGAGGGGGGACAGTTGCATGGCCAACCCCCCTGGGGAGTGATTTCTCACTTTCCCTCTCATTGTCTCTCTTGGTCTCTCAGGCAAGCACGCAAGCCCTATGGCAAAAACCTTTTTAAAATGTCTCTATTTAAATACATATTCTTTTATAAAAGAATGTATTAGAAAAGAATGTCTATATTTGAATGTCTGTATTATCTAGCTTACACAATTTTAATCCTTACTCATATCTACTTCTTTGAGAAAGCATAGAAAAGATCAGAATTTTGAATCATACAAATTAACTTTCCAAATTGCATCATTTTAAATATAAATTCTGTAATTATGTACAGCCTGAATTCTTTTATGTGTTCAATTTTTTTCTCTGACTTTTATATCATGAAGCAATTGATTTGCAATTTTTTCACACATATTTGTAATTCATCAAGTCAAATTAATGTGGCGATATTGTGCTATAAAAGGCACACAGACGATTGACTAAGTGATAAGCTTTTAGTACAAGGATGATGGATTTTAAGCATGATTCTGTCAAGGTCTAGCTAGTTTACTCCAAAAGTTATTTTTTATCCTGAATTTCAAATTGTGTTTACATACTTGGTGTCAGAATTGTTCCAACAACCAACTGTTTTAAGTCCTAGGCTGGGGTCAACTGGTGACACAGTGGTCAAGATAGGTAGATCCCATTTGGCCCACTGCATTGTTCAAGTGTCATACCTAGTGGCTTTAAAAACACCGCAGGGGTGTGTGTGTGTACATGCCCAAAAATCCCAAGAGGAGAATGGAGAATAAGGGATTGTGCTGTGGCCATCCCCCCTGGGAGTTGCTTTCTTACTTTCCCTCTCTGTCTCTCTCGGTGAGCATATGTACCCTATAGCAAATTTAATAAAAGGACAGAAGATTCTTCTAGACTGATCAGCACAATCTACACAGCAGTGGACAAAGCAATGTTTCCTAGTAATATCAACCATGCCATCATGGTGAAAAAATGATTGGTATATTTGGAACATCTCCACTCCATAGTCTATTGCTCTTCTCGGAAGATTAAGGCAGTAGAAACTTTGATTTTAAAAAAGTAGGCTCTGGAGTATCAATTAGATTTGATAAATGAGCGTGCATTTTGAAGCAAACTACGTATCAGTTATGTTGCATTTCTAAAACCTGATATCTTATTAAGTTAGCACCTTAAATCATCCACCATTTCTCTTTAACTAGGTTCAATACCTATCTCAGCAAGGCACCAGGCAAAAGAAATTAAAGGAAGGACCAGAAGCCAGGAGCATACATGCTTCAACTAAAATGAAGACTGTCTAATGTTTCAGGGTCTGCTCTGTCTGGGCCTTCATATACACTGCCTCAAAGCTAACCTGCCTTGAGAGGCATGCATACATGAATATGTGCATGTGTGTATATGTGTGTATTTTTTAACATTAAAAATCTAACTTCTAGTGCAGAAAGATGGCATAGTATCTAAGACTTGATAAGAACTTTTTTAACAGAGGGAAAACAAATTGAGAACCACTTCCAATGTTAAGTTTCATATTTGAACATAGCCTTAGCTTTAATGCAATAAGTAGGCCAAACCTAAAATAAGCTTTTATGTCTTTTCAATGATAAAGGTCCATTTTCTCTAGTCATTGTTGATCGTGTATATTTATACCTAAGTATTTTGAACTAATTTTCTGTTTTCTCTACCACATGCTGTCTTCATGATATTTTGCCACAGCTGGTTGCTATAGAAATGTCTGTTATAACCACTATGGCTAGAAGGAAAGTGAGAAATGAAAATGAAATGTGAGATGGCTTTGTTTGACTATAAATTTCCAATCTGGTTGTCCCTGATATATCAGTACATGGTAATATCTTTTAATATATTTTTTTAAATAAGCCAACACAAGGAGGAAGGGTGGGCAAGTCCAGGGCAAATGTGGCTACGATAAATATATTAGTAATCTCTTTGGCTACTAGTTCACAGTCCACAATGAACTGTCTCCAACAAATACCTAAAAGCCACCTTGGAATCTGGAAGGCTAGATTTTCTAGTCTACAAAAGAAACCCCAGTAATAAACAGTAATAATAAGTAGCAGAAGTTCCACTTACCTAATTCTAAAGTCATATGGCAATGATCATCGGATTTCCTTTTGGGGACAACACTTAGGAGGAGGACTTTTTAGTAAAGAAACCTAACAGAAAGTCATTTAACTCTGTAATAAAGTCTTACTAAATTTGACTCCGGAACATCTATTCTATTTCCATAAAGATGATGGATTTCTGAGCCAAATGTTCTTTTCATGAAAGATTCAAAAATTATCCATGAAAATAATACAATCGACCTTTTAGTTTGAGACATATTTATCACATATGTGTGTGTATATACATATATATAATATATATATA